ACATGCGGGAGATGCAGCATGAGGAAGCTTGTGAGGAAGCTTGACAATAATCCTGGTGAGAGATGATAGCAGCCTGGGCCAGGGGCACGGAAGAGGTGAACAAATCTGAGAGATCTTCTAGAAGGTAAGATTTGGAGGATTGGTGATGGATTGGTTAAGAAAGTGTGAGGGAGAAGGAGGTGTGGGACTGCTGCCCGGCTTCTGACTTGCAGAACTAAAGGCACAGACTTCAGTCAGGAATACGGACAAAAAAGCAAGTTTGTGGGAGGTAGTACAGTCATGAAGCTGGGTTAGGAAATCTTTTTCTTCTTTTGCAAAGAACCAATTTTTATAATCTTGGTTTAACTTAAAATTTACGAGTTTAATTTCCACATATTTGGGAATTTCCTAAATTACTTGTCATTATTAATTTCTAATTTCACTCCATTGTGATCAGACAATATATTTTGTTTCAATCCATTGATTCAAACCAGAAAGGCAAAGATAATCCTTTCTTTTGTTTTCCCTTTAATCTTCCAGGACTCAGCATGGCACATGGTGGCAGTTACTAGAAGAACCAAAGTATCATCCCTTAGATTAGTTTACTGGTCCTAGGGGAAAACACAACTGTGTAATGGGAGGATCAGACTGTGATCATCTGACCACACTGATCAGTCATGAACTCATTATCAGTGGGACAACCCGATAATGTGTGCACCTGATATGATGCAGTAAGAAGGACACAGAATCATCTAGGAAATAATCCTATCAAAAATGTTTAGCCTGTGTGGGCACCTGGGTGGCTCAGTTGGTTAAGCGACTGCCTTCGGCTCAGGTCATGATCCTGGAGTCTCTGGATGGAGTCCCGCATCGGGCTCCCTGCTCCACAGGGAGTCTGCTTCTCCCTCTGACCCTCCCCCCTCTCATGTGTTCTCTCTCATTCTCTGTCAAATAAATAAATAAAATTAAAAAAAAAAAATGTTTAGCCTGTGTGGCTCAGATGGTTAAGCCTCTGCCTTTGGCTAGGGTCAGGATCTCCAGGTCCTGGGATCAAGCCCCATGTCGAGCCCCATGTCAGGCTCCCAACCTAGTGGGGAGTCGGCTTCTCTCTCTCACTCTGCCTCTCCTCCCCCTGCTTGTGCACTGTCTCTCTCTCTCAAATGAATAAATAAAAAAAAAAATCTTTACTAAAAAAAAGAATGTTTAGCCTGAGTCTAACCAACCTTTTAGATCTAACTGCCAGCTTACAGGAAATGCAGGGAATAGGGAAACAAGGAAAATGACCTCACAGGAAACCATGAGACAAATCCAGAAGGTGGGACATTCTACAGGACATATTGAGTTTCTTCAACAAGTCAGTGGCATTAAAAAAAGGGAAAAAAAAGGTTGTTGGAGACTGTTCTAGATTACAGGAGGCTTAGGAAGAACAAAAACCAAATGTAATATGTGGACTTTGTTGGACAGTGGTTCAAATATACAAGCTGTAAAAAGACATTTTGGGGACAATTAGGGAAATTTGAATATATATCAGATATTAGATTATATTAAGAAACCATTAATTTGTTAGGTGTAATAATGGTCTCTCTTTGATACACAGCCAGGGCTCAGAATCTCAGGGTCAGGCCCAGTGGGATTCAAGCAGCAGACCTGGGTGTCTACAAGACCAAGAGTAGGCATAATCTCCCCGGACTTATCTCAGCAGTGAGGAGAAAACCTCTGCTCCAGGAATATAGCTGGATAAAAAGTAGGTGCTAGGGCGCCTGCATGGCTCAGTCGATTAAGCATCTGCCTTTGGCTCAGGTCATGATCCCAGGGTCCTGGGATAGAGTCCCACATTGGGCTCCCTGCTCAGCGGGGAACCTGCTTCTCCCTCTCCCACTACCTGCCGCTCCTCCTGCTTGTGCTCTCTCTCTCTTAAATAAATAAATAAAATCCTAAAAAAAAAAAAAAAGTGGCTGCTAAGGGTCTGATGTCTGAAATTACGGATGGCAGGTCTGGAATTCATAAAAATTCCAGTAAGCCCAATAGTTTCTTGGAAAGCAAGGGAATTTCACTGCCATGAAGATTGTTCTAGAGCCCCCAGGGATCCAATGTTATGATTGATTCTTATAAATAAATCAATAATAAGTAAGTCATGTGCTGCCCTACTTTTCATGTGTTCTATGTCACTGTCCAGGAGGAAATGAACCTTTCCTCTTAGCATTCTTTCTAAAACTTCAGCTTTGCTCAGTTCTCCTTCACAGCTCCTTCTTCATGTCTGCACACACAATGTGGGGATATGAAAGTCTGCACTAGTAAATGGAATCTCTTATCTTGCTTTAGAATAGGCTTATGTTGGGGTGCCTGGGTGGCCCAGACGGTTAAGCGTCTGCCTTTGGCTCAGGTCATGATCCCAGGACCCTGGGATGGAGCCCCACATCGGGCTCCCTGCTGAGATTCTCCCTCTCCCTCTGCTGCTTCCCCTGTTTGTACACACTCTCTCTCTGTCAAGTAAATAAAATCTTAAAAAAAAAAAATAGGTTTATGTATCCTAGGAGCTGAATTTCCTGCTACCTTAAAAAAAAAAAACCCGAAGCAGTTGCGATAGTTTGGATTTTGTCTATTTTGTTTTCTATTAATGTAACTATTCGTAGAATTTATCTTGCTGTTTTATCTAATTATCATCCTAATGAAATCAACCAGAAATTGGACAGCTAGATCACCATAGTTTGGATGGCCACCTACCTAGTTCCACTGACCTTGGTCCGGAAATACTGTGGAAAGTAAGTTTCACAAGTCTTTATTTAGATCTCACTTCTCTTATCTTGATGTAGAGCTTGCAGCCCGGGTCCTACATAACATTTCTAAGTATTGGGGAAAAGAGGAAAGGAGGGAATTTACATTTATTGAGTAGATATTATTGGCCAGGCATTATACTATTTCACCTATGTTCACTCACTTATTTGGGGATGAATATAAAGTAGTAAAGGCAGCTGGCTCTAAAAAATGAAATCAGAGACAGAGAGAGATCGGGAGGGAGGAAGGGAGAAGCAGGGATGTGTGGGGGAAGCAGGGATATAAAACTGGCAAAATGTTAACAATTACGGAATCCAAATGGAGGGTATACAGGTACTCTGTACTATTATTCAACTTTAACATTTTTTCACAATTATGGGGCACCTGGCTGGCTTAGTCAATGGAGTATGTGACTCTTGATCTCAGGGTTGTGAGTTCAAGCCCCACGCTGGGCGTAGAAATTACTGAAAAAAAAAAAATCTTAAAAAAAATTTTTTTTCACAATTAAAACAAAATTTCCTAAATACTTAAATGTAGTTATCATATGACCTAGCATATAACTACTAAATATGTAGCCAAGAAATGAAAACTTACATCTGTACACAAAAAAACTTGTACACAAATGTTCTTATTTATGAGAGCGAAAAAGTGGAAACAACTCAAGAGCCCATCAACAGATGAACAAATAAACCAAAGTGGTATATCCGTACAATCGAATATTATTTTAGCTGGCCATAAAAAGGAATGAAGTTCTGATATATGCAATGACATGGATAAACTCTGAAAGAATTCTGCTAAGAAACCAATCACAAAAAACACCCATCTTATGATTCCATTTATATGAAATGTCCAGAATAGGCAAATCTCTAGAAACAGAAAGCAGATTAGTGGCTGCCTAGGGCTGAAAGTAGGAGGTTGAGGTGGAGTGATTGTTAATGGGTATGGGGCTTCTTTTGTGGGGCATGGGGGATAAGAATGTTCTAAAAGTAGACTGTGGGGGCGCCTGGGTGGCTCAGTTGGTTAAGCCACTGCCTTCGGCTCAGGTCATGATCCTGGAGTCCCGGGATCGAGTCCCGCATCGGGCTCCCTGCTCAGCGAGGAGCCTGCTTCTCCCTCTGACCCTCCCCCCTCTCATGTACTCTCTCTCATTCTCGCTCTCTCAAATAAATAAATAAATCTTTAAAAAAAAAAAAAGATAAAATTAGACTGTGGTGATGGTTACATAACTGTGACTATACTAAAAAAAAACAATGAATTGTACACTTTAAATGGGTAAATTGTATGACATATGGATTATATCTCAATAAAGCTGTTTAAAAAAAAGGGTAACAGATCAAGACTGCCTGGGTTTGGATCCTCTCTATCACTTTCTTTGTCATTTTACCTTGGACAAGTTATTTAAGCTCTAGGCTACAGTTTCTAAACTAAATAGAGGAGTAATAGCATTACTAGCCTTGTTTGGAGGAATAATCTGTGAGATAATCTATGTGAAGTGCCCATAGTAAATTCTCAATAAATGTTAGCTATTATGATGATGATGATGATGATGGATAATCCAACAACCTTAGAGTTTGATACTATTCCCATTTTTCAGATGAGGACTCTGAGGCCCACAAAAGTTAATACTTTGCCCAAGGTCATGCACCTAATAAAGGAGCAGATATTCTGATGACACATGACTGTAAAAGCCAGGCTTTTCCACCATGTAATTTTGCCTGCTAGAGTAGATGTATCTTTTGTGGTATAATATGCATTTATACAAGACGCTTTAAGAATTATGTAATTAGGGCGCCTGGGTGGCTCAGTTGGTTAAGCAACTGCCTTCGGCTCAGGTCATGATCCTGGAGTCCTGGGATCAAGTCCCACATTGGGCTCCCTGCTCAGCTGGGGGTCTGCTTCTCCCTCTGACCCTCTTCCCTCTCTTACTATCTGTCTCTCATTCTCTCTCTCTCAAATAAATAAATAAAATCTTAAAAAAAAATAAATGATATTATAAAAAAAAAAAAAAACTAGGGGCGCCTAGGGCGCTTGTGTTCCCTCTCTCGCTGTCTCTCTGTCAAATAAATAAATAAAATCTTTAAAAAAAAAAAAAAGAATTATGTAACTAGTCCTGCATCAGACTCCCTGCCGAGCAGGGAGTCTGCTTCTCCCTCTGATCCTCCCCCCTCTCATGCTCTCTGTCTCATTCTCTCAAATAAATAAATAAAATCTTTAAAAAAAAAAAAGAATTATGTAACTAGCTTTCTCTTTTTCGCCGCCATCCTGCTCTGCGTGGCTGACTGCTTCTCGCCATGTCTTTTCACAAGACTTTCAGAATCAAGCGATTCCTGGCCAAGAAACAAAAGCAGAATCGTCCCATTCCCCAGTGGATTCGGATGAAAACTGGTAATAAAATCAGGTACAACTCCAAGAGGAGGCACTGGAGAAGAACAAAACTGGGTCTGTAAGGCGTCACACATCATGAGATGACACACTTAACTGGCACACGTATTTAATTAAGCTGTGTGAAGATCATGTGTTCTATCATTCTGTAAACATCCTTCCTACCTGGCCATAGACTTGTCTAATCATGGAAATGATTTTTCTCTGTGACTATGCCTCTGCACCAGTAGGTTGGTTCGGTAATAAATGTGAGACCTTCCGGCTCTACTGCTGTTGTGTTTCTGATTTGTGAAGGACTGAATCGCCCCACCTGTCAGATCATGCATAGCACTGTCAGAACTTTCTGCAGTGATAGAAATGTCCCTTGACAACCAAATATGTAAAGTGTGGCTAAGGGGCGCCTGGGTGGCTCAGTGCCTTAGGCCCAGGTCATGATCTCAGGGTCCTGTGATCGGGCTCCCCACTAAGCAGGGTATCTGCTTGCCCCTCCCCTGGCTCGTGCTCTTTCTCAAATAAGTAAATAAAATCTTTAAAAAAAAAAAAAAAGAATTATGTAACTGCATGTGAGAAATTAATATGCTAAAAAAAGTCTAATTTTGACATAGCTGTTTTTTTTTTTTTTTAAGATTTTATTTATTTATTTGATAGAGAGAGAGACAGCGAGAGAGGGAACACAAGCGGGCGAGTGGGAGAGGGAGAAGCAGGCTCCCCGCAGAGCAGGGAGCCAGATGTGGGACTCGATCCCAGGACCTTGGGATCATGACCTGAGCCGAAGGCAGTCGCTTAACCAACTGAGCCACCCAGGCGTCCCTTGACATAGCTTTTTATGCCAAAGTGATATTATTTAATATTCCCCAAACTGCTCTAGCTCAATCCTCTGACATAGTGATCAATAAGATGACAATTTGTCAGTGTGCAAAACAAGCAGACTTCCCCTCTATCCATGTGGTATATCTGAATGGCCCTGGGCTATTTTTACAGCAAGATTAATGGAATTAATCATGTATTTTCTAGTCCAGCACAGAACACTTCCCACCTTGTGTTATGGCTATTTACATATATTTCTTCTCTTCTCTTCTCAGCCCAGTTCCTATAGGGCAGTAAAGAATGCTAAACATAGAATGCATTCACTCAATTGTTTTTTGTTTTTTTTTTTTTAGATTTCTTTTTATTTATTTGACAGAAACACAGCCAGAGAGGGAATACAAGCAGGGGGAGTGGGAGGAGAAGCAGGCTTCCCGCTGAGCAGGGAGCCGGATGTGGGGCTCAGGACCCTGGGATCAGGACCTCAGCCAGAGGCAGACGCTTAACAACTGAGCCACCCAGGCGCCCCCATTCAATTGTTTTTGAACAAGTGAGTGAATGAACAAAAAGATGAACAAATACATGCGAGCCACACACTTTAACAGTCATTGGCTCTAATACTGGCAATATACTTTCCTACAGATTGTGCACTTCATGCTAAGGGCCGGATGGAGAGTAAGATTTACAACTAAAGAGTTAAGGTACTCCTCATCCCAGAACTGGACAAAAAGTCCTAATAACTCTTATTAAGCTATAAATTGAACTACCACATATTTCCAAAAGTACTGACTGTTCCCATTTAATCACCTCCCTCTTTACTCCCCTCCCAAAACCATACACATGTACACAGCTGGGATTTTCCTGCTTCTTCCTTAAATTTGTTAAACAATGCCTGATTAACAATCTAATGTAGAATGTAATAGAGCTGTATTTAAGTAGTACACACTGTGAAAAGCCTTCTGGCTACCATAGGAAACCAGTCTAGCTGAGTATTTAAAAAGAAGTCTAGGGCGCCTGGGTGGCTCAGTTGGTTGAGCGACTGCCTTCGGCTCAGGTCATGATCCTGGGGTCCTGGGATCGAGTCCCGCATCAGGCTCCCTGCTCAGCAGGAAGCCTGCTTCTCCCTCTGACCCTCCTCCCTCTCATGCTCTCTCATTCTCTCTCTCTCTCAATAAATAAATAAAAATCCTTAAAAAAAATTATTAAAAAAAAAAAAAAAAGAAGTCTAGCCTGCTACAGCCAACTAGACCTGAGTTCTACACCTTCCTGGATGGCAACTGCATATGTGTTACTCAGGGCTGTGTCTGGCACATACTAAGCATGTAGTAAACATCTTCTGTATGAATGAATGAAATTGTCTGCTTTTCTTTGGCTCCTAATCATCTTGCCCACATTTTGTATTAGAATTCCCATTTTCCCAGGTACAGATTTGAGTTCCACTGTGGGGACTAGGGGCAAGGCTTTAGATGAAAAAATAAGAGGGACAGTTGAAAATCCATCCAATTAGAGAAAGAGGAAAGTGAAGGGATTTATAAAAGACCAGAGCTTTTTTATGCAAAATATTATCTACGGGTTTGAGCTCTGTGCAGGTCAACTTAGTTTTCTTTCTTCTGTGGCCATGGTATGGTCCTAAACCTGTCACCTTCTGTTAATGTATGCCCTTAAAGAGGGAAGGGAATGCAAAGCAAGAAGGAAATCCAATACCAATTTTGAGGGAGGGGGGGGAAGCCTCTCAAAACACAGGTTCTACTAAGTCAGTGATGTCATCTTTAAAGATGACATAACGTTTTAATGCACTCAAAGACCATGAAGATTATGAGCCTCCCTGATAATTCCCTGACTACAGGCAAAATAAATATCCAGAGATTAAATGAGGCAGGATATACTACTGTAAAATGTGGAAGCACAGGACCGCTTGGATCCTCCACAGTTCACATGAAAGTTCATTCTCTTGTTCAACAACCTTTTTATTTAAATGCTTTCTATATACCAGGAACTATTTTAGGGGCTGGAGATCCAAATTAGGGGCTAAAAGAATGTGAAGCATGAAGAATATCAGGACATATTCAGAGGAGAATGTTGCAAGAAATAATATGGGTAGAAACCTTCTCCGAACCCTGTAAGGCTCCACAGAGTACTAACTAGTCTTTTTCTTCCTTGACAGATAACTTTTTGAAAGAATAATGTAGGGGTGCCCTGGGTGGTTCAGGTGGTTAAGCATCTGCCTTCAGCTCAGGTCACAATCCTGGGGTCCTGGGATCCAGCCCCGTGTGTGTGTGGGGGGGTCCCTGCTCACCGAGGAGTCTGGTTCTCGCTCTCTGCCCTGCCCCCCCGCTTGTGCACATACTCTCTCAAATAAAATGTTTAAAAAAAAGAATAATCTATACCTCTACTTCTGTACAGAATTAAGAATGAACATTTAGAAACTTTTATAGAAATTTGACATGGCCATGATCTCCAAGCCTGTCATCAGTGGACCTGTCTTGTTGAACAGAGTGTAGACCAGTTAGGTTGTCATCCAACTCTCAGGGTACCTTGCACCTGATGCAAGCAACATACTAGTCACGCACAGCAGGACTGCTGTCAGATTGGAAATTACAGATACTGTGCTTCACCACAGACATTCGAAAAGCACTGGTCTATACCACACTGTTTCCACTTCATCACTTGTTCAGTCTTCAAGCCATTTCAAACTGGCATCAGCCCTCCCCATTCTGCTGAAAATGCCACAGGAAATGTCACTGACCTTCTTACGGCCAAGTTTGGTGGATTCTTTTATGTCCTCATGGTATGTGACATCTCCAGCATTTGACACCCTTTGTTTCTGTAACGTTACGGAAGTTGTGTTCTCCCACCTTGCCGACAACTCCTTCTTTCTGTCCAGGCTTCTCTTCTGCCTACTCGTTGGCCTGTTTCTCTTCTCATGTTACACTCACACAGATTACTGCTGGGCAATCTTACTGATGTTCCATGGTTTCGACTACACACTGTTGACTTCTAGATCTCTATTTCCAGGGTTATAAACTTGATGGTACACTAATGTGCTCAGAATATTTACAAAAGAAATCAGTTTAAGTTAAAAAAGCAAGATAAACAGAGAATCCACTTTCTTTTACAATTATTTTCAGAAATTATATATTATTTAGCCCCAGAAACCATTTTTAATCCAAATGAAATATAGGAAACTCTAATATACAAAACAAAATAAAAGCAGTTCCTCTGAAATGGATGTGAGCCCTATTCATTTAGTCCTTTACTTCTTGGGGCTCTCAGGTAATAGCTAAACCATGGGGTTTCTTTTCTTTCTTTCTTTTTTTTTTAAAGTAGGTTACATGCCCAACATGGGGCTTGAACTCACAACCCTGAGATCAAGAGTCATATGATCTACTGACTGAGCCAGCCAGGATTTTTTTAGGCTTTTTTAACTTGGGGTCTTTGGATGCCCAAGGGATCCCTGGAAAGAATTCAGGGGACCTATGAAAAATTACATCTTTTTTTAAAAAAAGATTTTATTTATTTGAGAAAAAGAGAGAGTGCGTGAGAGAGAGCAAGAGGGGAGGGGCAGAGGGAGAGTGAGAGGCAGATTTTCCACTGAGCAGGGAGCCAGCCCAGAGGGCTCAATCCCAACCCTGGGATCATGACCTGAGGCAAAGGCAGACACTTAACTGCTGAGCCACCCAGGTGCCCTGAAAAATTACATCTTTATTTTAATTAACCACTACTTGAAATCTATTACTTCCTTAAACTATGAATATAGACCAAAAAAAAGTTATGAATATAGACCATAAACCACAGTACTATCAGCAGTACTTACGGGCTCGTCACCAATAGAAATCACACATTCAGATCATATTATGTTATTGCAGATCTCAAAGTATCATTTACATTCATCACTACATATTATGGTAGTTATTATATTACCACTAGACACTTATATAATGTGTTAATAAAAAAGCATATATATTAAGGTATCACTTTTGATGGATATATTTTATATATATAAATACATATATATATGTAAATTTTAAAACATTCTAAGTAGGGATCCATGGTGCAAGAGGCTAAGAACGCCTGTAGAAACTCAGGGTTCTGTGACAATTACCCACATGGAACACATAACTCCCAAAGTTCTCTACTTTGGCCCTAGTCCTTCTCCAAAAGGCTGTAATGGAAGTGGTGATTAAAAAGGCCCTTTTTGTTCTTTATTTTATTTTTATTATTATTATTACTTACCTATTCATGAGAGTCAGAGAGACAGAGAGAGAGAGAGGCAGAGGGAGAAGCAGGCTCCCTGCCTAGTACACAGTGTGTACTAGGAACTAGTATTTATTCACCCTTATCATACACATACCATGAGAAAAGTAGGGTCCTGATATATTGGAAACTACATGAAAGTTATGTAATAAGGGGTGCCTATAATCAAGCCTCAATGAAACCAAACTAAATGGCA